GCAGGCCGCTCCGCGCCCGCCGATCCGCGCCCGCCGCTCCGAGGGGGGGTCCCCGGTCTGCAGCATAGCCGCTCCCTGAGGAGGGCTGGTGGAAAACACCGTCATCCAAAACTGTGTGCCTGGTGCTACTTGCAGCGGTCCCGCGTTGTGGCACAGTAAGCTCAGCGTTGGCAGCGAGGGGCTGCTTCGGGTTGTGACAGGTGCCTGACGCTCTGTGTACGTACGTTCCCTGTGGTAGGCCGGGTAGGTCAGCCGCCGTGACTTTTTGCAAGGTATGATGTGGTAGGTGTTGGATGTGACTCGGATGTTGTGCTGATCACGATGAATTATCGTTGTGTGTTTAAGTACAACATAGCCAAGATCGGGCTAGGCACTATCAAAACTGAATGAAGCCGAGAGCCTGTTCCACTGATTATTAATAAAGTTCCTGAGAACTTAAGTTTCATATAGGTATGTTTTTTGATATAAATGAAGACTGGAACAGGGCTTTGTGTATGCATTGTGAGAACTGAGTCGTGTTGTAACCTACACGTTCTCACTTCCCGTGTTGTCACTGTTTGTTGCAATTAAGAATTAGATCAGCAACTTTAGAGCTTTACTTAAGTTTCTGCCTGGCGCTTTACACATTTTTCATATAAACATTTACTATGGCCCATACACTGGTTAGAAACAAACCCTGTGAAACTTACGTTCTTTTGGTACTTTCCATTTGTAGGGATTAGCTGATACAGCTAAAAAGAATTTTGGTGGTGGAAACACTGCTTGGGAAGAGAAGACGCTGTCAAAGTACGAGTCAAGGTAGGTGCTCTCAGTGCTTCTCAGTTCGGCTACGTTTCACGTCTGTTGTGTCTAATTTCACTGTACTGATGTTTGTCTGAAACTTAAATATTGAATGTTGCAGCTAAACTAAAGTTTCACATGTTTAAGCCATAAATTCTTATTGATTAGAATGTAACATTACATTGTAAAAGCATTAATAAGGGGTTTCAGTCTTTACTGTAATCTTTGTCTTGTTTTGGAAAACAACAAAAGTTAATGCTGTTATTGGTTATAGTAGTGTTTTTCTATATACTCATTAAAGTCCTAAAATAACTATCTTCTGTAATATTCCATAGTTAATTGATAACCATAAAAGGTGTGGAGTACTGAAATACTTGTTTTGGAATTAAAACAGCATGTCCTCCCTAGAGTCATCACTATTTCCATGCCACGCAGAAAACCAGAGAAGGTGCAGATTACTATTTTGTATATATGTTTGATTACTCAGCAAAGTGATCTGGTATCTTTCTTCCAAATTTCAATTCCCTTTTTAATCTGAGTTGGAGCATTGAGATATAAGGGTGAGATTTCCAAACCTCAGTTACTGTGAGCTTTGTGGCCTTCTATCAAATATTAACAATACATGAAACTTATTGTTGAACTTAAGAGAAAAATATTGCACTCAAAACTTGCTGTGAAGCTAAAAATCTGTTAAACAAGCCAAAGTGGTTCTTGTAGTCATCCTTCTAATTTTTTTTGGTTGATGTTCATTGGTTCTTTTTTCAGATATTTGTCTTGTTTTGGAATTGAATCAGAACACATGATAAACTGATTAAGTATTCTAGGCTGAAGTCTAGCTTCTCTGTCGTGTCTTGAGTGGTGTCAAATGTTTAACATAGACTTGAGATTTTCCTTCTCTGCTTGTAGTGAAATTCGTTTTGTAGAGATCACAGAGAATCTGTGTGACAGTAGCAACTTTGAATGTAACAACATGGTAGAAGAGCATGAAGAACATATAGAGAAATGGTGGTTCAAGCTGTAAGTATTTATTTTATTTTTTTTTGGTGGGTATCTTTGTGGATAAGCTACTTAAGGGGATGAAGTACTAATTTTAATTCTTGTGCCTGAACAATAGCTGTGTGGGTAATTATTCATTATATTTCAAGAATTGCTGCTGGGTTCAGGCTGACTTCTAATAGCATGTGCGGCTGTACTGTGTTCTTTTGGTTTTCAATTCTGGAAGTGTTGCACCAAAATATCCAGACTGGCTTCTCACATACTGTCTGCTCAGTTACCAGTGGGATGTTGAGGCAAGCTAACATTGGAAAACTTCGAGGTTTATTGCCTTTTTTGTTTTCCTTTGACATAAAACTGCAAGGGACACTCTGGTTCTTGTGGTGTTTTGTTTATTTTTTTTTTGGAAACACTTTGTTTTCCTGGCAATCAGAAAAATAGTTGATGCTAATAAATCTAGAATTTGCATGTCTTGGGGATGGTAGTGTAGCACCTGACTCTTCTGCCTGCCTTCTGAGCTAGCCCATGCTTTCTGTTCTAACTAAACTTTTCATATACCACTATAAAATCAGTGCAAGGATGGCATTGTAACATTTAAATCTCTTAAAAGAAACATGATTTGGACTAAAAAAATATCTTAAGTATTGCTTTACCACTTTAGACTTAGTTCTCCCAGTTAGGTAGAATTCAATTATAATGTTTCATAACAATAAGTATTTTTGATAACTCACTTTGATCTTAATGATGGCTTCATTGCTTTATCCTTTTACTGAACCACAGGATTGTGTATATACATTAACCTGCTAATAGAAGGGAATAGAACAGCATAGCATAGCAATATGGACTGTTTCAGTTGGAAGGGACCTGCAGTGGTCATCTAGCCCAACTGCCTGACCAATTCACAGTTGACCAAAAGTTAAAGCATGCTGTTAAGGGCATTGTCCAAATGCTTCTTAAACATGGACAGGCTCGGGGCAGCGACCACCTATCTAGGAATCCTGTTCCAGTGTTTGACCACCCTCTCGGTAAAGAAATGCTTCCTAATGTCCAGTCTAAACCTCCCCTGGTGCAGCTTTGAGCCATTCCCATGTGTCCTGTTGCTGGATATCAGGGAGAAGAGATCAGCACCTCCCTCCCCGCTTCCCCTCCACAGGAAGCTGTAGAGGGCAATGAGGTCTCAGCCTCTGCTTCTCCAGACTAGACAAACCCAAAGTCCTTAGTTGCTCTTTATAGGACATTCCTTCCAGAAAGGTGAGCTATGCAACCCAGAGTCTTAAACTTGGCTTAAATTTGCAGAAGTGAAAGAAACAAACTAGAGAATTTGATAAAGTAGACTTCCTAAAGTAAATAAAACTATTCATGAAATACATTGGTTTTTGAAAAGTTGCTGTATTTACTAGACCTTTTGAGTGCAATTGATTAACTTTGCCTTCTGTCCTTTAACCTGTGATACCCAAATGTCGTTCAGTTTCTGTGGTAGTTTCCAAAGACTGTTTCTTTGTCTATGAATATCTTTAGACATTTTTAAAGTAGTTGTTATGTTACATGCTGTACTCAGTAAATTTACTTTTCAGGGCCTGAGCCTTGGAGGCAACACGGTCCGATGTAGTAGCTTAGAAATAGAAACTGTGCGTCCCTCAGGAGTTGCTGAGAAATTCTGTCAGGCTACAGAAAAAGCCTTCCCTTTACTGAAGTTTCTGAGGCTTCAGCATCAGCGTGATGCTGCAATCTGTGAATGATCACTCGGAACCAGTATTCCTCATGCTTGCTTGCAAAATGATATCTAGCAATTTCATCAATTGGGAATTAGTGTGCTAGTACTGGAGTAGCACGTAACTAACTTATTATTTTAGAAGGATTTTTATTTAATATTACTTCGTTCATGCTAAAAAAAAGGATAGGGTGCCTGTTAAAATCCCTCCTTAAGTTGGCAGTAATTTGAGCAAATATGAATATTTGTCCTGGGTTATCTTCTGCATAGCTGAGATAAAGACACAGCAGTTACATTTAAGAGGAAGACATATAAATAAGACCATCTAACCTACATATAAACCTACCCTAAAAATAAGGTGTTAAAAAAAGTTGTGGGTGAGTGTACGTATCAAGATCAATTTTATTGGTTGCTCTTATTTCAAATTTTTCATAAATATAAACTATAAAATTTCAGTAGAGTCTGTTAATAGTAGTGCAGTTTAAAAGGTCGATTCATCTCAAGTTGGAGGACTTCTAGGAATTGGTTCCTGAAATAAGACTGTCTTCAGAGCAGAAAAAATAGGTTTCTAATCTGTCATGTGCAATAGGTTGTGTGGATTCAGTTGTGTGAGTTGGCTTTTAAAGAGTCTTTGTTCTTTAAAATTCTTTGTTCTTTTTCTTGATAAATGTCATTTGTATACAGAAAGAAGAAGTATCCTGACTTGTTTAAGTGGTTTTGCATAGAAACAATAGAAGTTTGCTGTCCTGCTGGAACTTATGGACCAGATTGCCTTGGTAATTTTTCTTTTGAGAAACACAGTAGCGCATACATTCTTTTTACCTGTTTTGGTCTTTCATCACACGGACAAATACATGAAGTGTGATATTTTGCATGAGACACCAGCTGCTGTGTAGTGTGTACCTGCCTGCTGCCTTTTAGTTCCGTAGCTGCCTTGTGAACATCCTACCTGAAGACAAGTCTTCTGGGGATGAAGTAACGTAGGTACAGGGCTGTGAAGGGTACTTATGTATCTGATGTGATGCTCGCATCCACGCCTGGCTCATGCTTAAAGGCTTTCTGTGGCCTTAAGTCTGTCATTTAGGTGGCCTGTCAGAAGCTGTGTCTCTGACCAGTTGCAGGAGAAAAACAATGAAAGCAGGTGGGAGACAATTGGATGAAAATTAGGTCTTCGCAAAAGTGATGAAGGAGGTCATTTGGCTCTGAAAGTTTGTATAATTTATAAACCTCTAAAACCCTGCACCTTGTTAAAGATCAACTTTGGCCTCATATTGTTAAAATCAAGTGCTGCTTTCCAATATTAATCTAAGTGATTGGTAGTAGGTTTTTCCAATTGCAGTGTAAATATTCTCAGAAATTCAGAATAAAGATACCAACTTCAGCCAAGAAAATAGATAACACTCTAAGCTACGGTCTTTGTCCAAAATTAAATTTATAACTGAACTTTCCTGGAGACTGTTTTGATGTAATATTGGATATTTCACTGAGCATTTCTTGTTGCAAGCCTTTGGGTTGTTCTCAATGGAAAAAAATATTTTCAAATTTATATCCTGGTTTAGCGTGACTTTTTTGGGTGTTGGTCTGTTGGGGTGGGGTTTTTTTTTGGTTTTGAGGTTTTATACTGTCTGTGAAGAGGGAGGTACTTCAGGTGCTTGTGGCTGAGAATAGGAAGTTATTTTCTTTCACAAGATTTACAAGTATTTTTGATCCTTTTAGCTTGTCGTGGGGGATCGGAAAGACCTTGCCATGGAAACGGCCACTGTGATGGTGATGGTACACGAGGTGGAGATGGCTCGTGTAGCTGTAACAAGGAGTATACAGGGGATTTTTGTTTGGACTGTTCTAATGGTTACTTCAGTACCTTGAGAAATGAGACACATTCTGTTTGTACAGGTAATGAAATTTTTGACACATGCTTAGATCTTTGTCTTCCTTCTTCAGTTTTTGCAAACAGAACTAGAAATAACTTAAACTGATAAATGTAAAACCAAAAAAGTGTTAGTTTGGTCACTCAGCTCTAACCATAAATGACACGTCAGCTTGGAATTCTACGGTTTCGCTAAGTCATCCTTCCAGAATGCCCTTGATTTTTTCTTTTTTTTTTTTTTTTCTGCTTTAAATTAAGAAGCAGAATTCATCTGTGTGATGAGGGAGGTGGAAGGGAAGAACAAGCTTTGCCACACCGCACAAGTACTGTATGAAAACCTTGAGATGAAATTGCTGCGTAGTGGACTACTTTGAGGGCTACATTTTCATCATGTCCCAGATAAGCTTAACTGGAGTAAATGGGCACATAGACTACGTAGCTGTAGTGTGGGCTGCATAGACTCCAGTTAAGTATGTCTAAGCTTCATTTTGAAACAAAGGCAGATTGTAAGAATAAAATTTTTTGGTTGGTCAGATTTTTACCTTTTTTTACATCTTCGATGAGATTCTGCAAGCAACTAAATCTTGTGAGACCTCAGAGTTAGATCACGTTGAAAATCAATCCTATTGGTTGGTTTTGTATCTGGCTATGTAGTAGTTCTTCTGTATGATTTGTTTTATATTACCATGTATAGCATGCATATATAACACAATATGTAGCATATGCATGCTCATATATAGAGTATGCTCATACAGCTGCATTTCTAGTATGTGTCCTTGTGAAGTTCTTCAGACTAGTATCGATTCACATGTTGCTGTCATAGCTAGTTGCAGATGAGGTAGTCTGAGGATTTGTTAGATGGGAGTGCCGAGTCCAGTGTTTGAACTGCTGTCCCAACCCTGAGTGGCTGAGCAAAATTTACCTTCTTCATCTCCACTTCTCAAATATTTTTGAAATTGGTCCTGCCACTTCTAGTCACTAGAATTTCTTGGCATGGTTTACGTGGTGTAGGTGACTTCCTGGGTTTTGAGGGGAGGTTTGTGTTTGGGTGGGTGTTTTTTGTTATTGGTGTGTGGGTGTTTTTTTTTTTTTTTTTTTGTAGGATAGAGCTGCATTTTTCTAAATGATATCTCCATAAAGTCAAGTTTTAACCTTGTATGGGAGTGTCAAGCTACTACAATATGATAGCCTCCAGTGAATACTAAATAAGGTTTTCTTTGAGAATTTGTGCCCCAAACTTGTCTTAGAATCTCTCAACAATGCACAGATTGTATTTTTTCTTTATCTCAGCCTGCCATTCAGCCTGTAGGACTTGTACTGGTTCAAGTAACAAGGACTGCCAAGACTGTAAAGAAGGCTGGATTAAAAATGAAGAAGCAGCTTGTGTGGGTGAGTAATGCTTGGTAGACTTCAAACAGGTTTTGTAGCAATTTTTTACTAGCGAGATCAAATGACATCACATCAGGTTTTAGTGTATTTTATGGAAGTGTTATGTCAGTTTAGATTTCTATAGGTTATAGTCTATCCTGAACTTGTGTCATGTTGTGGGAAAGTGGTGTATCCTCCCCACTGATCGCCTGGTGATGATAGTTGTCTTTTATCAAACTGTTCACTCTATATCTCACTTGATTAGTGGAATACAGATAGCAGCAAGTGGGTTATTCTTTCAAGACATGTTTTCTGTGTTTATTTGAATGCTAAGCAGTGCCCTGCTCTTGATTTAAATTATTTTGTGAACTACTGGAAGACTCCTGTCAGCTTATCTACATATTTTGTAGTAATTGCACAGTTGTTTTCACACTACTGTATATTTATAAATGCGGAACCATAATAGAGTCCAAACATTTCACTGAAAGCCATACATACTAACTTTTCTGTTATTGGAAAAAAATACCAGGAGACATCAAGCTCAGTGCTTCCATTACCTATTTCTAGCTTAACATGTCTCATTGTTTATGAGGACATACGTATGAAACACTTAAGGAAAAACTCAAACACTAAAAATACTCCCAACACAGGAATGCATCAGTTGGAGAGTAACACGTTCTGTTTAACTGGTTGAATTTGACCAGTTAAAGACCTTTAACATAATGTCTGGAAACAATATATTAGAAGTTATGTGAACACTTCTGCTTTTTAGAAGTGCTAATGAGAACTAGGATTTGAATTACAGCTCCTGTATACCTGCTTAGGCAACTGTTGAACGCTTCAAGAGCGTTTATAAGATGCTTCACTATTGTCTTCTGTACAGCTGTTTTTTTTTTTTCCAAATAATCATTGCAACTGATCAAGTATAAATTGCATAATCAGTAGGAATGATGCCTGCAACAACAGGATGAGAGAGACAGCAAGGGGACTGAAATAGCCTTTCTCTGTCTGAATTTTTTAGTTGAGTGTTATGCCCTTTCCTTCAGTTCACAAGATTAAAATGTTTTAACTTCCCAAGTAGAACTGGGTTTCAACTTGACTGGTCCTAACCATAACTTTCTCCAGTTTGCTTTATGTAGAAAACCAAGCAGTGTGTGCATGGGCAGCTATGAAATTTTTTCAATACTTAAAAAATTTCCGTAACTTGGTAGTACAGGAGTAGAGAAATCGACAATATTCCAGAAAAGTAGTCTCTCTTCTTATTTGTTATGCTATCTGCATAAAAAACATATACATATGCAAAACACTGACTTGAAAATGACAAGGATGGCAGGTATTCTGGAAGTTTTATTTAATTTGAACTCTTGAATTTCTGATATTACTGTTATTGTCATGGCAAAACATCTGAGGATCAGTTTTGGTTTGTTAATGTAAGTTTTAAGCTGAACAAAGCAGTACTTGTTACCATGGTTTATGTCTAACATGTTGCATATCTGATCCTGAACTCATTGTAACCTTTATTCTCACTGCAGTCAGTTTTAAGTTTATAGTTTCTGTGAGCCAGTTCTTACAAGATCTCAAAGTATGTCATTCAAGTTAATTTTTCCTATTTAATCATGACAACTATTTTGGGTAATTTGTCACTTTTTCCATTCAGATTTAGATGAGTGTGCTACTTCTCCTTGCAAAGATCACCAGTATTGTTTGAACACAGATGGATCTTTCTCATGCAAAGGTTTCTCTTTAATCTGCTGTTGTACTTCATTGTCTAGAATCCTGTTCTCATGTTGGAGGTAATGCTAGAAAGGGTGTGATATCAGGCATTTAGAACAATGTGGTCTGGTCCTGACTGGGCATGGGGAGAATGTGGCTTTAGACCTATTGTGTGAGGAAAGCAAGAGATTTCTGGTTATTTCTATTCTGCTCTTGTGAGATCCCATCTGGGGTACTGTGATCAGCTCTGGGACAACCAGCATAAGAAGGACATGGATGTATTGGAGCGAGTCCAGAGGGGACCACAAAGATGCTCAGAGGGCTGGAGCACCTCTGCTATGGGGACAGGCTGAGAGAGTTGGGCTTGTTCAGCCTGGAGAAGAGAAGGCTCCGGGGAGACCTTATTGCAGCCTTCCAGTACCTGAAGGGGCCTACAAGGAAGCTGGGAGGGGACTTTTCACAAGGGCAGGTAGTGACAGGACAAGGGGTAATGGCTTTCAACTGTAAGAAGGGAGATTTAGACTAGATATAAGGAACAATTTCTTCCTTATACGTCAAGAGAAGCTGTGGATGCCCCATCGCTGGAAGTGCTCAAGGCCAGGTTGGATGGGGCTTTGATCCACCTCGTCTAATGGAAGGTGTCCCTACCCATGGAAGGGGACTAGAATTAGATGATCTTTAAGGTCTTTTCCATCCCAAACCTTTCTATGTGTTCTTGTGTGGGTAAGCTGACTGACTTTAAGGGTGGTACTTTAAACCTCAGATATGACTTTTAATGCTTAAAATACTTTATCTCTAGTATGTGATGCCAGCTGCATAGGTTGCACTGGGGAAGGTTCTGACAAGTGTAAGGCCTGCGCACCTGGATACGTGAAGGAAGAAGAAAAGTGTACAGGTTGGTGGATTTAGCAGTACATGGTAGAACAGCAGTTAGCTCACTCCTTGCTGAGGAGCTTTTCAGCTCACGTTCACGTTTGCTTCAGTTTTCAAGCCTGTCAAAATGAACCCAGCTGTTCTGGCAGCAAAGACTTTCTTTATAACTTCACTTATATCATTGGAACTAGATGATCTTTAAGGTCCCTTCCAACCCTAACCATTCTATGATTCTATGATTCTAAGATCAAGTGATATTAATTCATAGTGAACTATGACATCTGAAATTAGAGTTTCTCTGTGGGAAAGAGCAGAATGTACACACAATCTTAAGTAGCTGTTAACTATGATGATGGAGTATTAACAGGCTAACTTCCCTTTAGTTGTACTTTGGCATCAGTAGAAAATGACTATGGGATATCTTCAGTAGGTTAAAATGAGTGCTGTTGCTTAATTTCGTTTCCCTGTATAGGGGCCTCTAAAACGTAAAAATCCGGTACTCTGAGAAGGTTTGAAACACAGTCTAAGTAATGAAGAACTGTAACAGAATATTTTAACTGAAGTTAAATCTGTTGCAGAAGCATTCTGGTCATCAGTGGTTTTTTTATATTTGAATAGAATTTTTTTTTACGACTGAGCACATGTAAGTTTTATAACAATATATCAGCAGTGAACTCTTCTCTTTCCCAATCTCTAGATATAGATGAATGTAACCTTCCTGAAAAGATGTGTGTGAAAGAGAATCAAGACTGTGTGAATACTTCAGGTAGTTACAAGTGTGTATGTTCAGAAGGGTTTGAAGATAAAGATGGAACGTGTGTTCAAACTGTAAAAACAGGCAAGTGGCTTTTCAATGACTTTTTGTTTTCTTTAAATATGCTATATCAACAACTTGGAATTGTATTTCTCTCTGAGGGTCTAGTTGCTTTTGTAAAATGTTCTGTATAACTTCTCCTCTTCCTGCAGCTGTGCTCTGTGTCAAGTAGTTTGTGGCATGGGCCACGGTCTGCCATGAATGCTTTCTTACTTAAAGACAGCGCATTTTCTAAATGTCCTGTTCTGTCACTGATGGTGTTTTGCTTAGCTCAAGGTTGTGTTTGTAAATCACTTAAGTGTCTAGCTTCCTTACATAAGGGAACTAGCCAATTACTGCTCCCATAGAAAGTAGGGAGGAGGAAGACCTTGATTTCTTTATCATTAATTATGACATAAGGATTTATGTGATAGCATACAAGCTACTTCAACTTACTGAAATATCAGAAAATTAAGCAGAATTCTGTTTGCTGGGTGAGCAAGCTTAATTTGATTATTTCATGATCACAAAAGTGTAAGAGCCTGTGTGAAGGTGAATATGGAGAAGACATCTGTATTTCTGTATTAGGGAAATGTTTAGCTTGACTTAAACGATACCTTCAGTCAAGAAATTCAAGTGTCATTTGCACTAGTTGGTATGACACATTATGGACAGAATTACGTTCATTAGTGTTTCCTTACTCCATCTAGGCTTTTTTTCTTTTTACAATTCCAAAGGGAAAGGCAGGATTATTTTGCAATACAGGTTGCAGGAGAATAGATGAGACGTTCAATTTCATACTTTTTTTTTTTTCTTTTCCCTACTACTTAGCTGGTGTGGGTTTTTTGTTCTGACCCCCCTCACCCCTGACTGATTTTTCATCTTGTACTAGTAAGTTGTAAAGATCTATGTAGTATTGCTGCTTAGTCTTTCATTTCAGACCTTACACTCTCAGTACTCACTGTTATTGGTTCTTTGAAATCAGTTATGTACTTTTCCCGTGCAGATACTCAGGCTGTCACTTACTGTGTGTTTTAATGTGGCCTGACATTTTATGAGAACAAAAGCAAGATGAAAAGCTGAAATATTGGCTTAGCTTTTTTCTTAGATTAATATTTTTACCAGTGTAATAAAATTGCTCGGCTTCTTTAAAGGCTCTTTTAACTTTTGAATTGAGCAGTTTGCACTATAGAAAATAATTCTGAGTAATACTTGCTTTTTATTTCCGAATACCAGAATTTATTATGACAGATAATGTGGAAAGGAGAAAGTTCACTGCGAATAGCTCAACACAAAAGCTTAGAATGGAAATAGCTGTGCTGCTTTTTTCTTCCACTAACAATATCATACCAGTTTATTTGAAATGTGTGGGGTTTATTTTTGCATCTCTGGTCTTGATAAATACGTTGATTTCGGTTTCTCTTAAAATTTTTGACAATAGGCATTTTTTTGTTGGTATATGTGTATTCTAATTATGATACTTAATTTCACAGGAGAGGAAGTAGAGAGTGAAACAACTGAGCCCTCACCTGCTGGACATGATGACTTATGATCTGCATTCAGAACCAAAAGACATTCCTTTCTAAAGTTTTAAATTATTGGACTAAGCCTCTGCTAGCTGACATACTGTGGAAATGGTATTTCAATATGCAGGTTGCCATTAAGATTTTTTTAAAAAATGGTGATAAACTGCTCTTTAAGCTGCATTTGTTTATTCTTAAATGCCACTTTTTATATGATTCTCCAAGAACAACACTAGATGGGTTAGTATAAAATTTGAATTAACATAACGTTGTACCCAGCAGCTGTAAAGAATTTGCAGGTTTGTCATTCCAGTGCCTACTGAAAGCTATCATCATTTGGAAGGACTTAGTTGCACTTTAGTCTAAATTTTTCTGGAATTAGGAAGTTGGGTGTTTCTTGACACGAGAAATATTTCTGTAACTGAAATACAGCTTTTAGAAATTGTCAAAGGAAATCTCTCTTGGGGGTGAAGCACTGTTCCCTTAAACAAAACAGAATGCTTAAGGCTGCATTCAATAAAAGTTTATTTTGTTGGACTGTGCCTTACATTTTTAAGATGTTGATACCTTGCTGTGTTGTCATGTCCAGTTTTCCTTTACACAGTGGAAGGGGAAAGGAAAAAGAATAAAAGCCCAGATAAAAGCCCCACAAAGCCCAGAACCTTGTAAACACTGTATTCCAGCACTCAGTTGTGATGGAATGTATGGGGTGGGGGGAGGGGAACCCACACACACTTTCATCCAAAGGAAGAATTATGTTAAACTTGTGTACCTACCCTTGGAAAGTTATTCAGATGTTTCTACCAGATACTTGTATTAAGTAAGTAAACTAGTTTATACAGTGACAAGAAGTAAGTTTGGCTAACACCTGCACTCTGTCTCACAGTTAGGAGTACTCTAGAATTGATGAATACATGGCTTTCACTACAGTCTACTGCTGTAGCAGCTTCCTGTCTTTTTCAGAGCAAGCGTACTGCAATCAATTTATCTTGTCTCATAGCCATTTCAGAGGGAAAGCTGATAAGCATAGCATAGAGTCAGCTTACTACGTGTTGTCCCTAAGCTTAAAGGAAAGTATAAGGCCTGAAACTATATTCTGCAGGACCATCACAGCTGTAAATAAGCTAAGAACTGTCCAGGTACTGTATTTAAACCTCTGATGGAAGGGAGTAAAGATTGGAATACATTGTGGTGGTGGATACAAGAAGCATAAGGAGGGACTACAGAATTCAGCTAAAAAAAGCATAACTTGAGCATGGCTATGAAGAAGTTGTATTTATATTTATTCACCCTGAGGTAAATAAAGAGGGGTGGGGGAGAAGGTCTGACTAGGATTGACCTGTTGAGCAGTGAAGGCCAAACACCTTTTTGTATATTTCTGAAGACTTCTTTGTTCAGAGTAAGCCACAGTTCAGTTTGTGAGCATGTAGGATTTGTTTGTGCAATAGATATTTATGTAAATAGTGTATAAAAAAGGATTCTGATGCATTTGTATGTAAAAAGCTGTTTAAGCTGATCTTGTGTACCATAGTTTAAATACCCAGTGGTATTAAAGTATCTGTAATGGTTTTCTTTACATTATTGCCAGTCTGAAAACTTACGTGCTTTCTCAGCTGTAATTCCCAGAGATGGGCCTATATGCCACATACCTTTCACATTTTACAGTAGCTGTTGTATTAAATAAGTGCTAAATTCAAAAGAGGAAAAAGTAGGCAGTCTGGGGAGCACAGGGAATGCAATTCAAGGATCTTTAGGGTTTTAGAGTACAGGTGTAGCCAGTTCAGGTAATACTAGGCTGTAAGGATTTTTCTTATAAGCGTGTAGCTTTTCTCTGTTGCTGAGTCATTGACACTTAGCTCCCAGGTGTTCCACATGGTGTTCCGAGTGGTCCTTGGTAATAGTAACATGAATTGTCAGTTCTGGTTAGAAACTGCCATCACCTTATGTTCAACTGAGTTGTCTCTGCAGTACAAACTCTTCTATTAATGTTTAAAGCCTGAATTAATGCTTCCTCATGTGAAGAACAACTTGGTATTCCAATTCTCTTCAAGTTATTTTGGACTCTGGGGGGATACCTGGTGAGGTTCTTAACTACACTGTGGAAGCATTTGCTTTCCATTTCCTCCCCCAGAAAAGCTCTGGACAAAAAGCCCTAACTGAATTGTTCCTAGTTCAGTGCTGGCATGAAATAATGGAAAGCAAAAACTTCAAGATTTTTCTTTTTTTTTTTTTTTTTTTCTCTCTGGTGACAGAGAGGACAAACTTCCTAGCCTCACCTGTAGAAGTAATGAGAGTAGTCTGATAAAACCGGTGTGTTGTTCAGCTCCAGAGAATAATGTTTTCAGCTTTCCATTACCACAGTAGAACCATCAGAGTATTGTTCCCTAGAAAACATGGTATCTGGGTATTAAGTCACTAATACCTTTTTCCTTAATCCTCCCCCACCCTGCAATTATTAGCACCTATTGTTCTGCATAGAATTGTTGTGGATAAACCTGCCAACTCAGGGGTCCAGAAAGGTGAATTCAAATATTTAGAGCTTTTGCTGAAGGATTACTGACCAGGTTATGCGTCTGATAAATATTTAACACTATGCTGCTGCCTTGTGCCCACTCAGTGCTGAGTTTCTAAAGAGCTAGTCCTCTCGTTTTATTCTGCATGCTCATTTTACTACCTCAGGCTGTAATTACTGTTCTGTTTCAGAGGTTGGAGCTAAAAATAATTTTGACTGAATTTATTCTTTTTTTTTTTCTCTGTCTTGAATAGAGTGGGGTTTGGACTCTTAGTTATCTTGGAATTTGCCTTTCATAATGAGAATGAAGGAGGTGGGGGAGCAGAGTTTAAACTAGTTAGCAGAAACTGGCAATGAAGATCAAGTGCTTTGTGTTAACCAATCAGTCAGTTTATGAATGCTTCTGTGTGTGTGTGTGTTACCAGCATAGTGCTTTAAAAAGTGAGCTGTTCACGTTATGTTTTTCATTATGCTGTAAGGAGATCTGGGTATGCTGTAAAAGACTTTGTACTTAGAGCTGCCTGGAATTATAGGTTTCATCTAAGAGATCCAACAGACAAGATTTCTGCCTCAGTGAAGTATGGGTTTAGGTACTTTTTGTCATAAATACTGAGGTGTGCCTTGAACTTGGGGATTCACACTTATTATTTTGTAACTTCATACTGTGTGCTATCAAACTAAAAATGGCATCCCTTTTTGCTAGTTTGTCTTGCTACTCCTTTGGAATTTCTTGGCCTAAGAGTAAGTGCTTGCTTTTTTTTTTTTGTAGTGGGAAATACACTGTTTGGTACCATCTAGGCACTTCAAAGGACAAGGTTGTCTGGTATGTTATAGATGGAGTCCACAGAAGGTCCAGGAACAAGTAAACAGAGATGCATGTTACAATTACAGCTCTAAACAAGCCCAGGAAATCAGTCTCAAGTTTGAAGCATGTATAACACAATCCTCCTGCAGTGCCTAAACTTAAGAATCAAAGTATGTGCTGAAATGTTTTCATTTGAGCATTAGGACATAGTATTGAATTTATTCTTTGGTGTCAATTGCTAGCATGCCTGTCACAGACACCAGGGTCTCTGCCAAGTGTAATACACTCCATTCATAGCGAGGATGGAGAAATCCATTTTGCAGGACAATGTGATGATTTAGGTAATTCAGGAAGTCAGATATCACCTGAAAGGGTTCAAATTGCTATCTTCTTTTTCAGGAGAGATGCTGAAGACCATGGGTTATAGACAAGACCAGGACATAGGTCACTGTAAAATATATGTGATATATTGTTCAAACACAACAGTGTTCTTCCTTTTATGGTTGCCAAGGACTGATCATACATTGTCCTAGTATGTGTGGGAGTATGTATGTAGTCTTCAGTCAGGCAGTTGTCATTGTTAGCCTTTGAACTGACACTTGCAAGTTAAAAAAGCCCCAAGAGTTGTGACAATACCATTTTGAAAGTTAAGCTTTTGGTGTATGCATATGTTAAGACCATTTTCCGTGACAAACAGGGTGCTCCCTGCCCTTCAAGTTGCTTTCAGACCATGCTTACACAGCACAGAGTTAGGCATACAAATAATTCAAGCTTGTCTTAACAAGTGATTTGAATGAAAAGAATGCATTAGGAGGGGGGAAAAAAAAAAGCTTTAAAAAACCCCAAGCAGTCTGGAACTATATATAGCAATAATATATGACAGTTCTTAATGGTCCTAGCTGACTTCCTGATACCCCTCCCTTTCCTTCTCTCTATCAGTCTGCAGCGGGTTATTTTCTGAGTGATGTTTTATCTGTTCTGAAAGGAAACTTCTGAAGTTACTCAAAGCAACTGTCTGCTTTTTTCTTCCTTGAAGCAAAATGGAATTTTCCTCATCTTTTTCAGCAACTTCACACCATGGCTGACTTTGTTTTCAGTTCCAGTGTTAATCCACATGTGATCTGTGGATAGAGCTCAAATAAGTATGCAAGGATCTTGTTTTTTCTCAGATTTCTCTTAGAATTAGATTTTAATGGATGCTAATGTAGCAGTCTTTCTCTTGAACTAGCGTATTAGATTTTCTCTCTCACTTGAAATTGTATTTCTGTTGCATTAGACCACTCTAGCCTTTTTGTCTTAATTTTAAAAATTTTTTTAAGAGTTTCAAGTTAATACTTCCTTTTACAGGACTGGAAGGCTAAAAATTTCTAGTCCACTGATTGTTCTTTGTGGCACACAGGGCTACATGTGAAGTAGTTGAGATAACAGACGTGTCCTTATTACCCTGTCTGTTGAATTTTTGTGGGGCAGAGGGGAGAGTTGCTATTAGTCCTGTTGAATCTAGACCTCTTAAACCAAGATTCTGGAAAGTAGAGGAATATCCTGGGTGGTAAAAGACCTAGACCTGGATTTATTTCTCCTGCTTTCTGAGAGTGCTCTAACCACTAGTTTAACCAGCAGGTAGACGGGCAAGGCTACATCTGGCCACACATCAGAAGAAAGGAGTAAGCTGATACAAGTTTTTTCTTTGGGAGGTAGGGGAGTTGGGTGTGTTGGTTTTAGTTTGGTGGGTGGGTTTTGGGTTTTTGTGGTGTTTTTTGGTTGTGGGTTGTTTTGGTTTTTTTTTTTTTTTCCCCTCTCACAGAAAATTATTATCTGTTGTCAGTGTATGCAACTTGCTGATCCTGGTTCATACACCTAAGTTCTGTAGAAGGAATGAAATGTCATGCTTATTGATGTCGTGGGTGGGAGAGGTTTGAGGGGTGCTTTTGGTTAGGAGTACATATCTAGTTTGCTTAACACTGGCTAGCTAGAATGTAGTTGTCAGTCTGGCTGAGTCGTTTCATAGCTGCCGTTAGGACAGATAACGTTTGTTGCTGAC